GGAAACCAGTCACGAGAAGGCTGGCTATTTATGCTTGCAGCACACTGAGTGATTGAGAGACGTATTTCCGTAACGGTACATCCCAGCCCCGTTGAATTCTCCTCATAAGCCAGGCAGAAACAACAAGACGTAGATTCAAACACTGATGCCTTCACATACGTTGGTGGCCGAGGGCCTGCAGGCCGCTTGCCGTCGCGATCTGACCAGACAGGTAATTTCTTCAGGTGAGTGCTGTGATTCGGATTTTGTATTATCGCAACGTGAATCAGCAGACATTCTAGTAGAAAACTGGCATACTCAGAGAACATGATGTCGTGATGGACTGTGATTACTACATAGTCAAATAGAAACACCACAAGACTGAAGCTTTTGAAGGCAGAAATGCTGTATTATGTCTAGGGTATCTTGCACACGGCCAACACAATCCCTCTTGGCCTTTTTTACACACCGCTCCACTTCCCAAACTTGGTATACCTCCTGTACATCTCCCTCAAAATCGCTCTTCCGCTAGCATCCATGGCGTCGTTCAAGATCTTCCTCACCTCGATCGGCGTAATATCAAACACCGAGTTCATACCCGGCTCAAGCGCCTCGCGGACATCCCTCGGAACATCTACGTCAAGCTGCATCTTGACGTACGCCATGAGTACGAGGTACATGTGTCGGCCGGCAGACCTCTTAGCCGCGTCGGTTGCGGAGTCGAGGGCGCTGAGGTGCTGCACGCGCGACACGGCGGCGGCGGCAGGCTCGCAGACCAATGTGACCAGGCGGGTGAACTGCGCGGCGTGCTTCGCGCGGACGGCTGCGGAGGTCTGTTGGCGGGACAGGGCTCCAAGAAGGGCTTCCAGGGTTGTGACGAGGATGTGGTAGTGGCCCTCGAGACGGAGGCGGTGCTTCTTGATAATCACTTCCATCAGTTTGCAGAGCCATTGGTAGACGCTGGGTGAGGCGTCGAGTAGGTTGGCCGGGTCGGTGGCGACGATAACCGCTGTGGTGCTGAGAGTTGTCTCAATGTTCCACTGGGTCATTGAGTTGGACCTGATGTCCAGCAACTGCTGGAGGACTTCGGCTGTTCTGACGAATTCGCGAACGGTTTTGGCCTTGGTGAGGTACCTGATCAAAGAGCCGTGTGCGGTTGCCAGATCGAATGTCTTGGACTTCTCAAGGCCGGCTGGTGCCTCTGTGTTGCGTGTTAGCCTGAGATTGACGACTGTGGTAGGATGCGACTTACCCGTCATCTGAGCGATGACACGGCGAATAGCCAGGAGCTGGCCTTCTGTTGATGCACCGGCCTTGATGGCAGAGTCTTCCTTCACGCCTTCAAGGAGGCTTTGAATGTAAGTAAGCTTTTCGTTATAATCAAGTCCAGCAACTACAGCGTCGATACAATCCTCCAGAGTAGCTTGGCGGTTGAAGTCGGAGAGCGGATCAGGAGCCGGTCCACTGGGGAGGGTTGTAGCCTCGGCGCTGCTGAAGAGCTCGTTGAACGAGGTTGGGCGAGGTTCGGCAAGTTGCGATGGGAAACGCTTAATAAGGAAGGATCGCAGCTTCCAGCCGCTCAAGTGCCCGTTTGCGACGGCCTGCTGGCTTGCCTCTTCCAGTTGGGTCACCTTGACTTTCATTTGTCCGACAGCAGCGTCAGGCAAAGTATCGGCAGCGTCCAGAGCAATTAACAACCGGTTGACTACAGTTTTATCAACCTTCTGTTTGCGAGATGCCTTCGCAAAGTCGCTCAGTGCTTCTTGTACCCTGTTAGCAAGTGCGGAGGCAGTCTTGTCGACGTCGATGACAGCCGTCTTTTCCTTCGCGCCTGCATCAGGTGACACCACAGATAGGAGGGCCTTGAGGAGAGTCATTTGAACAAAGGACTCGCCGCTGGCGACATCCTCCAGTAGACTGGAAACTTTCTCGAAATATTGCACCCGATACTCTTGATGATCGCTCATCTGTCGAATGGTTGCCGTAGACAGACTGCCAAGAAGCAGGGACAACCCAACAGCCACCTTCGAGTTGTTCTCAGTGCAGGCTGTTGAGATTGAGGCAGCAATCTTTTGGAGATCTGAGAATGCCATGTCCTTGTAGAACGTCGGTTTCCTCATGATCTTGTCCACCAGCCCAAGAACCAAACTCGAATCCTCCGGGCGTATGCTCTTGACGGCTTGGATCTTGGAAATCAAGATTTCCATAATGCGCTCCCGCTGTTGTCTCGTCAACGCTTCATCGTGCACCCTCGAGAGCTCAACCATAGCCGTCCTGCTTCGCTTCTCAGTCCAGGGAGACGACTTTCCAGAAACCTGCGCGAGAATTTCGATAGTGTGGTCAACAACTCCAGCCGTCAGCTTTCGGTCACGTAGGTTATTTTCATTTGAGAAGACATAATCCAGCACGTTTCCGAGCCGCGATTCGCTGTCGTTCTTGTCGCCAAGAAGCTTTTGTAGGTACTCTGGCATGGAACCAGTTGACTTTGAGAGCAGCGAAACAAGTCTGGACGCAGCCAGCGGGTACTCGGCGCAGAACTTGGACGCATTGGAGGTGTCTGAAGCCAAATAATCCCGCGATTCCAGCAGCTCTTTCACGTCACCGAGCTTCACTTTCTTCAATAACCTCTCCACGAACGATGTGAGGAGCGAAGCGAGATCGGCCTGGTCACGGCCATCGGGGTACATGGCTAACCAGAACTGATACGCACACTCCAGAGCCTCGCAAGTATCCTCGTCCTCGAACTTGGCCTTTTGCAGTGCCTTCGTCAGATCGGCGCGAACACTGTCCCAAAGCTTGGTCGCTCCTTCGTAGTCCACCCACGACACTGTCTTTGCGATGATCCTCCACCGTAAAGAGCGGATATCTGAAGGAACCTTGCCAGACGACCATACTTTAAGGGTCAAATCTGACAGTTGCGTGCCAATGGCATCAGCGTAATCATCGTTGGTTACAGCGCTGGCAATTGTGTTAAGGAAGATGAGCACTGCTGCAGGTCGAAGAGTCTCTTGGTTCTCAACCCATTCTAGGAGGGTCATCAGTTGCTTCGTAGTCAACGATTTCTCGATGCCACCGATGAGGGTAGGGCTACGGTGAACTCGAGTAAACCAGACAGGCCTATCATCGGTACGCAGAGCCTTATCCTCAAATTTGGAAAGCTGGTCGAACCACTTCTTCAGGAAAGTAGATAGATCACGGGCGTTTTCAAAACCAGTGATCAGCGACGCAATCAGCTCGTTCATGGACACCTCGCTTGCCTCAGCGCCCGCAACAGTAATTCTCTCGCAAACCTGATCAAAGAGCTCCAGTCCCTCCTCCGATTGCAGGAAAACATCCGCATCGCATTTAGCGATGAGAGAAAGAAGTGTCCAGTCGGTTTCGCTGGGGCTGCCAGTTACGGCATAATTACTGCACACCATACGCAGATCGTCCAAGGCAATACGGGCCTTGTTCGCGATCGCCCCTTCCAAGATCGATGCCATGACGCGCACCTTTTCGCTGTTGGAGAGTTGTCTGTTTGCACGCTCAGACAACCTGAACACCTCTTGCATCCAGGCGTCATTGGCTTTGGATGTAGTGAGTCCCCCAACAACCTGCGGCGCGGCCGAGGCCAAGTTGTAAATTACGGGCACCGAAACGGATGCGATACTTTGCAACATGCTGAAGGCGCGAGTGACAATCTCAAGGTCGGTTTTGTTGAAGTATGCCGATCTAGCAGGAAGAATGAGGTTGCGCTGCAGGAACTTCTCCAGCTCGCGCGTCCATAACTTGGCCACTGAATCGCCCTCAGCAGCGTCCTGCTTTAGTTTACCGAGAATGGAGAGTGAAGCACGGGAGAAGTGTGTGGCCACCTCAAGCGCATCGGCGCTTCCCTGAAGATGCAGGTCCCATGCAGAAGAGAAGACTTTGACCCAGGACTCCTGGCCCTCGAAGTGTTCGCCATCAGCGACCGCCAGGGATTGGTTGCAGAGCAACAGCAGAGGCGACAGGTATTCCACAGCATCGGCCGCAGGTTGCGCGAAAAGCGCCTTTATGTGCTCTGCCCCCATCCTGTCGTGCGCGGACCATTGCGCCGCCGGATCCAGTCGCGCCAGCAGTATCTTCAAAGCACCGAAAATGGCCTCGCCAGTCGCCAGGCAGCCGTCGCTAGATTTCAGACTCTGTAATTCAAACTTTGCAGTGCCGGCTCTTTTCCTCTTTTTCGAGTCTGTTGTGTTGGCCTCGATGCTAGGCTTTGCGACATCCTTCAGCGTTTGCTGAAGAACGGCCATAAACTTTCGGTCGGCGAGGGATTTTGCGAGAGAGAAGAGAGGTATTCTCTGGAACGAGCAGCCGAGTATGCGCCATGTCAAAGGGAATCGTCGGACAATCTCTGCTTCATCGTTGTTCGTCTTCATCGTCTTAAGGAGCCATCGTAGAACGCTCTCCTCGGCAGCGGAGAACTGGCTCTGACCAGAGGATGTGAGCTGTTTCCATAGCCGATCGAGGTTTTGGCCATTGGCGCCGGGTCCAGTTTGGTCGAGAGATCGCACAGTCTTGACCAAGTCCCTGTCTGCCGTCTTTGGATCTTGTCAGTACACCGAAACACCTTTGGTCGATATTGGACTTACAATGGTCTCTGACGACCTATCAAGACTCGCGTCGGTCATTTCGGCATCCATGGCGACCGTGCGACAGAAGAGGAACCCAGCGGACGTATGTTGTCTCTAAATAGGTAAATGTTAAGGTCGGCATCGCCTCGCGATGTTTGGCTTGAGCTTTCCCAAAATTTCGGGATTCTGCCGCCCCACTCAGTCGCATCCAGTCACCGAATCTCACCGAAGGCTCACCGCCCTCGGGTGTTCAACATCAATTTGCCGGGTCTCTCCGAAAACATCATTTGGATCAAATCCACAGCTGAAGCTCCAAACCCGGACACCCACCAGTGCGTATCTAGTCAATTGCGTGAGTGTCAACGCCCAAAGCTGCAGCAGGCTGCATTGACGCTGACCAACATCTTTCCAGGGCTACCGACGACGACCATGGCTGAGAAATCCGTTCCCCCTCCTCCGAGCGCTGTCGCGCGACCCGTCAGTGAGGCACTTCTCAACGAGAAGGTTAGCTAGCTCCCCACTTCTAGATACACCAGAGGATTCGGCCGTTTCTGACATTTTGTTCTTGTAGTGGGACCACTGCCTGTCCAACCTCCTCGTCAAGTCTACCCTCGGCCTCGGCTTCGGCGTCGTCTTCTCAGTTCTCCTGTTCAAGCGCAGAGCGTGGCCTGCGTTCATCGGTGTTGGTTTCGGAGCGGGACGTGCGTACGAGGAGTGCAACTCTAGCCTGAAGCAGGCCGCCAGGGAGATCAGGAAGCAGGCATAGGTCATGATGCCTTGAACCACCCTCGAAACGAGACAGGCCGGAAGAACGGAGGCGAACTTTCGAACGACCGGAATGACACACGCTGTACAAAACCAACTACGTCACACGAGCACGTGAAGCTCGCCGGGGAAAGCCAGGAGCCGGCGCGTGCCCCCGTCGAGATCACCCTTTTTGGAGTCGGCATTGCTAGATTAGGACGGGGAAGAGCGATGGGAATAGAGCCATTTTCTTTGTTTGTCTACCCTGTTCGTGCCATGCTGCTTGCGTAATGCTACCCAATGAGGTCGAAAGTGGAGGGTGTCCTGAAATTTCTGTGTTCCTGGAAGTTCCCGCCCTCTGCCTTCAAAAGGAGTAGGGAACTGTGCGGTGTTCAACCAAGCCCTGGTATGCGTTCCAAGGAGCAACCGTTGTCCACCTCTGCCAAAGCGACGACCGAACCCAGTCGCCCCCACCAGAGTTCTAACCACTGCCTACGCACCTGTATATCATTACCACTGGTGTGCTTTTCGAAACTTAAAGGTGTGAGCACGTCGGAAGGGATTTCACTGTCCCAGGGATCAAGAGGCTCTCGAAGTCCACTGAAGAATGGTGATGCAGCATGTGATCGATGGATCCTAATACATCCCCAAGAGATGTCTCTTGCGTTCTCCCTCAAAAACAGCGGAATCAGTGGAACTGGAAGCCCGCTGCCGCATCCTGCATTCCTTTCGCCTGGACAAAAAGAGGTACAGAGCGACAGTGATAGATATGGCCAAAGCTATGCTGACCAAGACAAGAGCAGCAATTTTCGAGCCCGTTGTGTCCTGACCGGGACCAATTCTTCTCTCCTCGACCTCCCGGCTTTGATGTAGAACATCGATGGCGGCGCCTGTGGCGAGTTGAATGATTTTCGTGCTGACGGGGCGGGGGGCGTGGCCGCCACTGTGGTGAAGATGTGGTCTTGTTGTTAGGTTGTAACCGGGTTGGGTATCGTTGGCGAGAGCTAGCTTGAGGGTTATAGATGCCATGGCGAGATGTAATGATGTTCCAAAATGCTACTTCGTTTCCAGGATTTAGGTAAAGACGTGTAGGGTTTTTGAGTTATAGATGATCAGTGCTGAGTGTGATCGACGGAATTGCGAAATGGTTGCTGCTTCCCACATCATTGTGAACTCTACCAAAGCTCAGTCGCCCTTTCTGCGATGAACAAGACCAAGTCTCTAAACGCAGGAAACTATGACCAGCAAGGTAGGCTCGCCTTCAATGACACAAGACACCTTCCGGGTACTCTTGGCAATGGCACTAGCATAATTCTTCTTTCAGGAGGCACTGACTGGCAGAGACTTCAATTGAAAGCTTTTGAATTTCTGCTACCAACCTCATCTTGACTATCTTTAGGAACGCACTTGGGCAGCAGTTGCAATCCATGCGTTTCGTCACTTATAGCAGGTCAGCGCCGAATTCCACACTCAGTGATCATTCGATCTTTATTGACATACAAAATCTTTCGTAGTGCCGCTTTATAAACACTTCAAACCCCGGCATGCCAATTGGCTGCATAATCTTGACCGGACTCGTTGCGGGTTGTCGAGACTGGCGGTTGACCAGACCCTAGCAATGCCGGGGCAGCTCGGCGATTGCAGAGTCTCCGATCTGAAGTACTCCACAGATCCGAACAACCGGCTCCGACAACCTCAATAACCGAGCCAACGATCTTTCAGATCTGGTCAAACATGCAAATACCTTGGTTCTTAGCGGAGATTCCGTTGCCCGGATAGAAGCCATTGAAACGGTAACATATAAGCTCGATCACAGATCTTGATGTATGCTGCACACCGGCCAATGAGCAAACCAGCTGCACCGCCGCCAAAGCTTCAAATATGAGTTGAAATCCGTAAACAACCATTGGACAACAGACATCCTTCGAGCTCCCCGGAGCTGACTAATTTCCCCCGAACTGCCCCCCAATGCCCAACTGCCGCCACCTACCGCCCACCACCTTTTACATCATAAGCTGTGCTATACCCGGTAGGTAGCCGGAGCTGCCACCCTCTGTCTGCAGGTCAAATTTCTCCAAACCCGGCCCTCCACCTGCGAATTCAACAAGCGCATCCGACACCCCCCGAATACGCAGCAAATATGGCAACATCACTACGCTGCCTCCACGCGCCTTCGAGCGCAAACGTTTTTGTGCAGCTTGCGCGCCGCTCGGTGCCGACGCCGACGACGGCTAGCGCCCCGATTCTCTCGGTTCTGATTCCGAGATGGAATACCGCCACCGACACCACGACGAACTACGCCGCCGGGGCGAGGAAGCACAGTACTGGAGCTCTTTCAAGGACAAGACCGGCGCCGCAGAAGTTCATCAGGAGAAATGCGGCAACAAAGCAGCAGCAAATCCGCAAGTTTACGGCTTCGGCGACGAGGCGGCAGACGAGATGTGTCTATAACCCGCAAAATGACGAGGACGGGAAGGAGATGGTGCTTGAGATCACAGACAGAGCGGGCAAGGTATGTCGTTAGGTTCTGCCTCGTTGCGAGGCTTGCCGAGGCATGTGTGGCAATGGCTAACACAAGCTTTCACAGCGTCTAGCCGACATCATGAAGAAGGACAACAACCCGAACCTCGCGCTCAGGATACAAGTAGAGAGCGGCGGCTGCCACGGCTTCCAGTACCTCATGAGCCTAGTGACCCTCCCGGGGACTGAGAACGTGGAGGATTGGTCAAAGGTTGTTGGAGAGGAGGATACGGTGTTCCAGTACCTTCCCGAAGGCGCGGACCCTTCGACGGCGACATTTGGGGGACCAAAGGTGGTGATCGACGAGCCGTCCTTGGATCTGTTGAAGGGAAGCAAGGTGGACTTCACGATGGAACTCATCGGCTCCCAGTTCAAGATCACGGACAACCCATACGCCACGAGCAGTTGCGGATGCGGAACGAGCTTCGACATCAAGATTTGAGGCTTGAGTCAGCAGGGGGATGTACTACGTACTAATATCAAGAGGGGGACATGAATGTACATTACGGGGTCATGGTGGGTAGGGAGCGAAAACTTTGGGTATGCACGCTCAACGAGCCTCGAGATGATTCCAGACTCACTACTTTTCATATATAAGACACACGGAACACTACTCTCTTCAGAAGAGGCTTGCATTGCTACTCATAGGGAATGAAGAACCCAGGTGTCGTCAAATGATCAATTCACAAGTTTCCCTTTTGTGGTTATCAACGCCGTGCAACCATGCCAATCATAAAGTAACCCTTGGTATTCTCAACCCTGCCGAAGCCCGAGTAAAACTAAGACAAACCCGTCTTGTCACATTGCCAGATCCCCGAATTTTTGATTCAATTAACCCATAACCCCTAAGACAAACAAATAACTTAGTTCATCTGGCGGATAAGAGCGTTGATCTTCTCCTCGCGGTTGCCAAGGTCACCACCCTCGATGTAGTGCTTGAACTTGCGGGGGCGGAAGCCACCAGTGGGGTTGGAGAGCTTGAAGGGCCAGAGGAAGTTGGAGGCCTGCTTGAAGTTGGGGCCGACGGAGTAGATCTCGTGGATCAGGTCCTCCATGCAGACAATGCCGTACTTGCCGAGGTTCTCCTCGATGATGGCGTTGTCGGTGAGGGCAACGCGCTGCTTGTTGACCTTTCCGTAACCGCGCTTGTAGACGAGGTCCTTGACGGACTTGAGGTTGGGGTATCCGTAGGCAACCCAGGGCTCGATGACCTTGATCATCTCGGTGGTGGCCTTGGTGACCTTGATGAAGACACCGTTGTTGATCTGGAGGAGACGGAGGAGCTGGAGGATCTTGCGGGGCTTGGGGGGCATCTTGTTGATACCCTTGATGCGGATGAGGAAGATCAGGGTAGCCTCGGCGGGAACGTAGGCGGAGTCGTTCTCGCGAGCGACGCGGGAGAGGCGGACCTTCTCACGCTCGGCATCGCGGTACTCGGTGATGTACTTCTCAGCACGCTTGAAGATGACGCCGCGCTTCTCCTTGTTGGCCTTTGAGAGAACATGTTAGCAACTGTTGCGAGACAGAGTAGTGTTCTTAAAATGCAGGGTTGAATCCGATAAGTGTCAGACCCGAAAGAAGGTTAATTTCCAACAGCATCGACCGTAGTCTAGTCGTGAAGGTTTGTTGTGCATCATGTAGGAAGGGGAAAATGAAGAAATTGCGGCGAAGGCACTTACGGTCTTCTTCTTCTCGGCGGCGGCGTTGCGCTCGGCGCGAGCCTTCTCCTGAGACTTGCGCTTCTTGAGAAGGGTCTCGGGGACCAGGACCTGGTTAGAGGTGGGGACGGAACTGTTGATGCAACTCAGATTAGTACGCAGTCCGACATACTGCATGCAGCATGGAAGAGAGCGCCGGTGCGAGAACTGTAGCTGAAGCGCGACATTCTCACTATGGCTAACTCGAAAGATGACTTTGATCGGTGAGACGACGAGCGCGGGAGGGTGCTTGGGCTCTTGTTACAGATGCTAACAGCACTTCTCCGGAGCGCAGGCCTTTTGCTCATCCGACAACACCTTGAACATGGACATGTTCAAGAAGGAGTGCGCGCAGATGCTTGTGTCCAACTAGGCAGACTTTTCAGCGCTGCCTGGTCGACGCCATCATGCGGCAATGATTTTCAGGGAGAACGAGTTACCGTTCATCCCCAACACCCCAGACAACATCTCTCAATCCGCAAGCCATGTTCCAGGTCATGAAGGAAGGAGGGAGAGGCCCGGGAGGGTTCGAGCTGACGAGACCCAGAGACTTCACGGCGAGGTGAAGCTCATGTTCTCCAGCGAGAGGACCACGACAATCTGCAAGACATCCAACAACACCAGGCACGCCCTCAAGAGGGGAGAGTGCTGCGTTCAGGGGCAATGGTGAACGTACGTAGCGGCGGCCATTGTGAAGGCGGGTTAGTATTTGTCGGCGGGTGTCGTCGAAAATTTGGTCGCTGGTCGGAAGAAGGAGAGGGGAGGAGGGAGAGGCGGGATCACGAAGATTATGAGCAGATTCTCCAATTGCAAAAATTGGGGCCAACCGCCACACGCAGGGGCCACACTCACAAAAATTTCACCCTACACCGCTGAAGGGCTGCTCGCTTAGGTAGGGTTTTCCACGGCACTAAGCCTGTTTCGGTGTTCTGCCGGCTGACACCGTCCAGCCCCGGTCAGGGCAGAAACGTCCACTTTTCGAGCGTCGGCCGCCTTGAGAAATTCTTGGTTGCGCGCATCGAGAGGAAAAAGAGCTTCTACCATTCCCGACTAACCACCACCGAAGCAATTCGCCAACACAGCAGTCACGATGCCTCCCAAGAAGCCCACCCGCCCTGCCCAGGAGAACATCTCCCTCGGACCCCAGGTCCGCGAGGGTAAGTCGTGAACTTTCCACTGTTTCGATGCCTGCGGGCGTCGCGGCGTCATAATTGCAAAAAAAGAGTGAAGACTGACATGGTACCCCGCCAACAGGTGAGCTCGTCTTCGGTGTTGCCCGCATCTTCGCCTCCTTCAACGACACCTTCGTCCACGTCACCGATCTCTCGTAGGTCTCTCCCACAAAGAAAGAAGTCAGTTGCGCGCCGTCGCAGAGCCGGAGAGGATTCTGGGTTTTCTACGCAGCTCGCGCGCCGCACAACTGATGGAAACAATGTCCCAAGAACTACTGGTGGTTCCAGATGGCTAACGTTCTGGGTGATTCCAGTGGCCGTGAGACCATCTGCCGTGTCACTGGTGGCATGAAGGTCAAGGCCGACCGTGACGAGTCCTCCCCCTACGCCGCCATGTTGGCTGCCCAGGACGTCGCTACCCGCTGCAAGGAGCTCGGCATCACTGCCCTCCACATCAAGATCCGTGCCACCGGTGGTAAGTTGTCCTCCTAAGCCTTGCCTCATAACAAACTCTGATCGTTCTGTCTTCCAGGTAACGGCACCAAGACCCCCGGCCCCGGTGCCCAGTCTGCCCTCCGTGCCCTGGCCCGTTCCGGCATGAAGATCGGCCGCATTGAGGACGTTACCCCCACGCCCTCCG